AATAAGAACAACATTAATTATAAACCCAACCAATGACAGTTTATGCCCCATCAGGTCACTCAAGTCATACATCATCAGGCGTACCAGCCACCATTACGCGCCTGGCAGTAATACCCTGTTCGTAAAAGCTGATGGATCTTGGGCCACTAAACGATGGTTCTGCAAAAAGCTCCAATCAATCCTACCTAACGCTGATGTCTCAGGCCATAGCTTCAGATCAGGAGGCACCACAGAGCTTGTACTACGAGGAGTGCAACTAATAATGATTCAAAAAATTAGTCGATGGGAATCAGATGCATATTATAGATATATCCGGACACACCCCGCCATGATCGCACACATACTAATGAAAGCGTATAACGTCTAGACTTTCAAACCAGGCTATTGGAAGAGACTCAGTCTCGCCGTCATACGCAAAAAAAAAAAAAAAAAGGGGGGAAAGGTGGGCACAAGAATATTGTGACCATAATAATAATAATAAAGGAGCACAACGAATTACAAGGCCAGTGCATAAACGTTCAAAAAGTAATAACAATAATAAACATGCATATATCAATAATATTACGGCATCAACACACATATATATACACATAAACGAGGTTTACAAAACATATGAGAATGGTAGAATCCGAAAGATTTTGGACGTCCACGTGATTCTACCATCTCTCTACCTGCACATGTTTTTAATTTCTCAACCGTTACTATACTCACAGCCGGCTTGCTTTAGCGAGCAGGAAACCACCGGCTATTCAATCCTGCGGCGACTCCTAGCGCAATGTTTATTGCATTTTCTCGGGATGTCATCGCCGTTCTGACCAATCTCGGTCAATCACTCGCTTCATGATCATGTACTAATCTCCACTTAATTGCTTCAATAGAATCATCTCCGGCCTAAAATAACTTGCCGGCATAGCCCAACAGTTAATGTGTAATGTGATGCTTTTCGAATCTGCTAGAAGATTTAAAAATTGGGTCTTAACGTTAAGAGAAATTTAATTTTTAAATTCTGGTGATTGTACTACAACACAACCTCACAATGCGCAAATAAAATCAAAAAAAATTTATTTCGTAGTATAAACTTGTTAACAAAGTTGTCAATTCATGAATTATGCTGGTTTAATATTATC